CTGAAGTTCAGAAGCAGGACAAATGCGTGGTGCACTGAGTTCCGACTAATTAGTTTATCAGCTAAAAGCGGATTCCTCGTAGCAAAAATAACAGCTCGATTGGGTTGGAACATCGTAGGTGTCTTTTGATTTGTTAGTAGAAAAAAAGGAGAAGCAACCGTGGAAAGCCAACCATATCTCCTCCATTGTTCAGTGGTTATCCATTGAATAAAGTTTATTTCGAATAAGAAAGAATCGGCATCGAGGTGAGAGAACAACAGACGGTACGAGAGAGTACACCTTCCAGGGAGACACAGGTATCGCAAAGATGGCGTGATCGGATCCATGGGGCGTGCGTTGACGCAAATCCTAAGCCCCTAGCAGCCTCTTCAAGCGTTTTGAGTCGCGGGAATGACTTTTTTCTGGGACTGTGGACCCAGCGATCCTACTTAGGGAGATATTGGTCCAATGATGTGAGCGCGAGATGCGCCTTTCAGACTATCGTTGTTAGCTCAAAAAAACAAGCCAGTATCAAAGCAACGGTCGAAAAATATATTTTTCACATATTGTTCAACGTTTCGTCTTCAAGGCCTGACAATATTCACAGTCCAGGGTTCCAGTTCGGGGGGGGGCACTCCATTGCTATCTTATCCGTAGTACTAGAGAGCAGTTCTTTGGGCTATCGAACACTACGGATAAGATAATAAGTGAACGACTCATTTCGAGCGTACTTTTGATAAGGACCGGTGGATGTCCTACATTCCACACTACCTGCCCACATCCCATCCACTTTTCTGCACAGGTGATCCACCCTGGAGCTCCTGCACCCTTAGCCCTTTGCGGAGGTGTCCTTTCTCCTGGTCCAGGACCGTTCCCTTGGGTCATGGCAGGCGGAAATGTGAAAACGTTTCAGGGTTTCTCACCCATTACACCAATATTTATCAGAAGTCTACTTTAAATGAGTCGATTACGTGTCGTGAGCCCTCTAATCCTTATCTTGAGTATTGGAGAAAAAATGGAGTGGCCCCCCCGAACTGGAGTTTCACCATTTTCACATATTTCAACGATTTAGTCAAAAATATCCAATTGACCACGTAATTTTGAATACGAAGCTGGGACGTAAAACAAACTAAATTTATTTTAAGAAAAAATACCATCCAGCTGGGGGTTTAACTAAAAATAAATGAATTCTGGTCATCAATAAATCAAAGAAATTATCCGACAGGTTGATTCAATTGAATGAAGAGATAATAAAAACTAAATCAGGTGAAAGCTCCCGCGAAAATGAATGAAAAGCCAGGGAATAGCTAATGCGAAATAAGAACAGGAAAATGAGACGAAGAAAGGAGGATGAAAAATGCAAGACTCGTGAAAAAAAAGAATTATTGCGATGGCACAGCTGCTCTACCTGATTTAAGCAGCAAAATTATCGCGACTCCATATCATTGAGCGAGAATATTGCCTAAAAAACCTCAAGTTCGAAAAGAGAAGGGACACTGCTTGCGGAACGGATCTGAGGAACCTTATAGGAAAACAGAACTTAGGAGAATAAACGAATCGCCAGCGTGAAGATTTGAGATTACCTATAGAGTAAACTGTGATTCATCCAATTTCTGATGGCAACTCATTGCATGCGCACTTCGCAAAAAGTTTGTCTGTTAGGCTTCACATCTACCATTCATTTCTTATTCAGTTGCAGTTGGCTGAGCATAACTTCAACAACTAGGAATCGGAGCATAAAATGATGCTTGCGCATATAAGAACGCTCAGGAGAACCTATATAAAATCATAATATGCACACATATCAATTCTCAGAATCGCCAGTATCAAAAATCAAACAATAAAAACTAAAAACATCAAGCGTTAGCGCTATCGCTTAACGACAGAGGAAAAAATCAATTCAATTTTCCGCGTCGGTGATTCGTCATTGATTTTTAACGACACTAACCAGGTGAAAATGTTGTACGTAAAGTCGACTGTATGTACCGAAGATAGAAACGCAGAACAGCTAAAAAAGATAGTATGCCTGACTTCCAAGCAAATTCTAATAATAATAATAATAATAATAATAATAATAATAATAATAATAATAATAATAATAATAATAATAATAATAATAATAATAATAATAATAATAATAATAATAATAATAATAATAATAATAATAATAATAATAATAATAATAATAATAATAATAATAATAATAATAATAATAATAATAATAATAATAATAATAATAATAATAATAATAATAATAATAATAATCGATCAACTGGTTAGTGCAACGGGAATAACCAATGAAAAAGATGAATGAAACTGGAAAGTACATATAACGTATAGTTACAGCCAATCACAACAATCGATAAAATATTATTACTGCTGATACGTTGGATTTATCGATTAAACATCCAAGCTGGAGTTTGATTGATGAGCTCTTGATCGATGGCTTGTGTTTGATATACTTTAAACAAAGTAACGAAATCGATCACAATTATGAACGAATTGAGAACAACGAAAGCGAAGAAAAATCGATAGTTTTGACACAGCACAAATATTGATTGATTGGCAGGACAAAATGTGGCAGGTCCTGCCACGACACATACCTGCTGTAATTCGTTGTCGGATTCGAGTGCGTCGAATACGGCGGCTCCTACTAACAGATACGTGAGTGTGCACACGATCAGTGATAACGTACGTACGTTCTGACGTTTCATTCCACATCAGGATCACGATCCCGATGTGAGAGGTGTGTGGGTGGGCGCTATGTGGGTGGGCGACGACTGTTCGAGGTGGTCGGTACAGATTCAGATCAGGAGCAATAATCACTGAGAATAACCCAAAAGCTATCAGGCCAAGGCTTGGCCAGAAGTCAGTAACAGTAGCAATAACGGTAGAACAGCGACGATATCGGCATAATGGCGAACAATCAGCTGAAAATATATGTGTATAGGCGTGATACACGCGTGTATCACACTACAGACAATAGAGAAATCAACAAGGAAACAGTGCAAGGATCCGCGAACGGGGCGAAGCGATTGTGACGTATGTGTGTGTGGTGTGTGATGTGTGTGTATAAGTTCGGGTTGTGTCTGCCCGCCCTTTGACACAGCAACAGAGCGCAGAGCTGGCTGCTGGCTGGCTGCCGCCGTCGACGTTGCCCTAGCCCGTGGCAGCGTCTCAGAATAGTGTGTAATGGGTGGAGACCGGCGGGGCACTCAGGGCGGATACGCCCCGAATCCCCTTTGAAAAGAGCACGAACTGGCGGATGAATCCTTCGCCACAGCATTAGCAGACATCTGTGCTCCATTATGGATGAAAGTCACTAAAATGAGTTCAGCAATTGATTCGAATAAAAAGCCTTGGTATACCATGCACTACAGCCCCATGCGGATTTGTAAATAATTATGATCTAACATCCCGATCTTGGATTGATATCTCTGTCGTGCTAATCCTGGAATAATTTCAGAAGGCTCTAGCCATGGCAATACGTCAGATGATCCATTATCAGATGATAGAGCTGGGGGGGGGGTGGGGGGGGGGGAGGGTCTCTCTGACCTATTGGCAAAGTATATAGTTCAAATTTCGAAATACGCAAGTTATGCTCACCTGGGATGAAAGAGTGACTGTTAATGAATGTGTTCCACCTAGCGGATACCTAATCACACTTGAAGCAACTGTTCCATATGGAAGGGCTAGTAAGAATACGCTGGAAGCGCATCTTCCTGAGAGAGAGCCCATTATAACGATGTCTCCTTGTATTCCTTTTTGAAGCAAAAAACTCATACCCATTTTGTAATGTTTTTTGTTGTTTAGAGCCAAATCTGCGTACCGGAGGTAAAGATATTCATAAAATGTACCAAATTTGTGATTAGTATATGCCCCCCCCCAAATTACAGCACGGTATAGACATAGGCATTCATAACGCTCTCCTAATCTGAATGAATGGAATACATGCGCATCATCATCGGTTTGAACACCCATGTCCATCTTCTTCATTCTTTTATCTTGGTAGATTATGTACCTCGATCAGGCTCAGTTTGTTACAAAAGCACCTAACACACATGCCTTACAAAATATGAATTAAGTGCGGAGGCATGGCTCTTATGAACGTGCAATGCCCTAGCGCTTTACCCTTTGTAGGCCTGAAGCGGCTCATATCGAGCTAAAATTGCGCCGATCTGTCTTCTTGATGCGATCATGCTCACATGGCTGCTGATGAAGCTATGATTGAATCGTGGTCAAACTATCGGCACCCCTCTCACGGAATTATTCATGGGTCGAATGAACACGTATTTTAGGGCTACAGAATTTACTCGGTATGCTCCGGCGCGCTATCGCAAATATAGGGGGCATTATGCAGTCTTGAAACTGCGTAAGAGGACTTTTTGTTGAAAACAGGATTAAGCCTCAGGCGGGAGTGGAAGGACCAAGGCGTGTAAGCCATTTTCGTTTTCCCCGAAGCCTGGGCCCCTCTAGGCTTAGTCCTGGAGGATGCCCCCGTATACTGCGATAGCTTCTAGTGCATTATGACTGCTTATAGCAAGCACCTCCTCGCCACAATTAGTCATCGTATAATTTCTTACAGCACCAAATATCGGCGAGCTCACGCCATTAGAGAGTTAAAGCAAAGCAAATTTAAAGCATTTATTAGGAACAATTTTCAATAACTGCTGTAAGCAATCAATCTACAAGGCAACTATACCGAATACACAATACTTAGAAAAGTTCTACTACAACTGGACTGGTGTCCAACAGCGGTCAACAGTCAACAAATCAGCAAGCCAGTAACAATACCATTGTATTAACAGTGAGCTGTGTGAAATAATGTGCGAATATGGCTACTTTCCCACTTCAGCCATGCCCATGAGTGTGCGACACAAAATGGGTATTGATTTTACGCGTGTACACAATCAAGATCATAAGCTTAGAGAGCGGTCCATAGTGCAAAGGCAGCATGAGTGAGCTATATTCTCTACACCTGAAATCCACAACAAGTCGTTCTCATCGTCGATAATTGTCCATCAACGGAAAAGCCTTCTTCTCCTCCGAGTTGGAGTGGAGGTCTCCAGTGAAAATCCCTAGAATTGAAATGATTACGGTATTCAAATAAGTGAAAAGGAACCAGAAGTTGCCATTGCAGAACCTACCGTTTCCACGTCGGTCCAAACAATCGACGGCTGTTCTGGTGGAGAATGTCGTACCATTCTCACGGATCGAGCCATAGAACCGTCTTGCGACTCTACAGGCCCATCTTGGTTCTGTTCACTAGAGGTGAGGTCATCCAGATTACTCAGCACATCGGCAGTATGGTCATGCTCGGCCGTCGCGATGCGACGTCGCGAATCGAGTCGCGACTGCCGTCGAACATTCTCCACTTCGTCGTCACTCGCGATGAAATCGTTCTCTTGACGATGATTCTTCTTCGGCATCAGGACATTTTGATCCATTCTGTAATGGAACTGCGTTATGACTCTACTGTAGAAAACGCGAAGCGTTTGTCGTTATAACAACCTCTGTCAAGGATGCGCCATGCATTTGACTTCCATTCAGAATCGTGATAGCATTTGAATGCGCACCTAGCCAATGCAATGACAAACGGAGGCCAACCGATGTACAAGTCTGTGTCCTAGCCGAGCCGCCCCAACTAGTCAACTGAAGGGGATAGAAGGTTCTATTAGCCTGGGCGGAAGTGGTGTAGTGGCAAGTGGCACGCTTACCACGCGAGCGGTCCGGGGATCAAATCCTGGGTCGTGAGTCGCCCGGGCCAACCAAGCCTTCCATCCCTCCGGGGTCGGTTAATTGGTACCAGACTTGTCTGGGAGGATAAAAACACTGACTTGTACATCGGCTGGCCCCCGCAAGTCATTGTATAGGCCACATCGCATTCAAACGCCACTACGAATGTACAAATGGAAGTAGAATGCGTGCCGCATCCAACAAAGGGGATTGATCACGGCATATGCTTTATCGCTTTTTACGCCAGCTACAATCTATTTCCAAACCCTTTGTAAGTATGCCGTGGGGTTTCAATAGAGCTGCATTTAATACATAAGGGGTAGAAAATACCGCTGACCGCGTTCAGACCAGGGTCAACCGTTTTCGTCTCGCGACTAACTTTGAACGAGCATGCGCGTTGTATCCGGGAAAAGGGGAGGGGTGTATTTTGGGGTTGAGTCAGGGTACTGATCATTGCAAAAGTGTGAATGGAGGTAGGTCTTACGGTGGTAGGTCGTTAGAAGGGGATGCCACTATTTAGATGGGTTTTCTTGACAAATCTGGTAGAACTTCTATGAAAAAAGCGGCGTAAATTAGACGAAATTGTAGGATTCACCGCTTCATTATTACTAATTTACCCATTTACTTCCCCCTCCCCCGTAGGGTGGCAGTCCAATTCGAGAAATGGAAGGGAATCGGGCATTGCGTGAGCTTCTAAGAATGATGTGTGGAGGTTGGGTTCACATCGAAAACTCTCCTCAATGCTAGGGGAGTTCGCAAAATTTTGAAAATGTGGCATAACGCGACGATCGAAACGCTGGTTACCCTCCTAGTCAGAGCCTCTGTCACCCTTCTCATAGCCCTTGGGTGGGTCTCAGATAGGTGTGATTTAATAGTTTCGGAATAATCTCAAAAGCAATCAGTGCTCTGAAGTTAGGCCCTTAATTGCGAGTCCCTCCCTTCTTGTTGCTCCAAATAGTTTAGCCCTGCAGAATGCGGGTCAGCTAGTGGGGGCATCGCTCTAGCTCTGTAGGCCTGGTAGAGTAGGGCTCCAGGGAAAGATGAGAATAGCTCAAGCACTTTGGAATCGCTCCTCCCAAGCCTAAGGCTTACCCGTTCTTAGCAAAAAAAGAGACATATTTTACGCGTTTTTAAATACATTGCTAATTATAATGCGCCCGTATATTGCGATAGCACCTGATCTGGTCCTTTCAACTCAATGTCTTAGCCAAGTGCCATTCAAATGGTCCTGCAAGCTTGTAAGAAATTTCAGTGTGTGGCACATTCGTGACTATAACCCATCGATGGTTAGCCTTTCTCGCTACAAATACCTAATTTCTACAATGAATCGCCAATTTCTCACCTGTCCAATAGTCTCTTCTCGAGAGCTTCAATCTTCGACTTCAGGTACTCAATAGCTTCTTCGTGGGATCGTAGAGTCACGGTGGATTCTTTTGGTCTCGGACTCTCTTGTTTTACAGGTACGGTAGTTGTGGATGTAGTCGTTGGCGGTGTTGTGGATTCTGCCGCAAAAAGCTCTGCCTTTACCTCAACAATTGGTCCAACACGTTGCTCCACCGGTTTGACCGTAACGATGGGGTCATTGAAAATCGGTGGCTGAACCCTTTCCAGTCCGGGTTTTTCTTTATTGTCAACTGATTCTGGTCTCTGCTTCTTTCCCTCATCCATTTCCTCCTTTACACTTCCGTCATCATTTCCTTCACTATCATCACTGTCTTGAAGATTCGACGACGACATGGCTGATTCTGGCAGGGGAACTGACTTTACAGTACCCCAGCGTCTTGAATTTTCCGCGTCAGGGATCATCTTTGGGTCAGTCTTGGTTTCTGGCTCGAACTTCATCTCTTCATCGACCACTGTCGGCATGCTCGCCCGTGTGGTTTCCCTCTTCACGGTCGTTGTCCTGGCCGTGGTCGAAGTCGTCGTAGCCATCGTAACTGTCGTCAATGGCATCGTCGTCTCCACCGCTGTCGTTGTCGTCACCGTCATCGTCGCCGTTGGAACTGCTGTTGAAGGCTCGGCGCCCGGATCGGGTTCTCTTTGAAGTCGTCCTCTGGCCATGAGAACTCTCTAAGATCCATCAGTGGATGTTCTGGCTCTTTATTGTCAAGGGCTCGGATTCGACTGGTCAGCTCCGCCAACAGTAACTCAGTCTTGCTCAATTTGATGGCCTCCATGATGTTGGACGTCGTCTGCTGAGAAATGGGGGAAGGGGTGCTGGGTTTTGCCGTCGTGGGCTTTCTCGTAGTGGACAATTGCGTCGTAGTGGTGGTCGGTTGGGTTGTTGTTGTCGTTGGTTTAGTCGTGGTTGTTGTCGTCGCTGTTGTGGTGCTTTCAGTGGTGGTAGTGGGTGCTACTGTTGTCGTTGTTGGTGGAGTAGTGGTAGTGGTGACTGTAGTGGTAGAAGTAGTAGTGGGAGGAGACGTCGTTGTCGTCGTCGTCGGCTCCTCCGTTGTCGTGGTCATGGTAGTCGTCGTGGTAGGGGTGGTAGTTGTCGCTTCTGGCATGTCCGTGGCATCCGGAGTGGTCGAGCTTATTGAAGAGGTCGATCTAGTCGTCCTAACAAATGAGTCCGTGGATGGACGCCTTCTGAACTGCGGAAACTGCTCCCTGAACGTCGAGCGGAATCGCGATGACGGCAAAAGTCTTGGCAGTGGACGTGCACGATCACGTGATCGATTAGAAGGCCGCCTGGTGAACGGGAAGCGATTCTGAAAGCAAGAGAGGATTTTTACCTGACTGTTAGACTTAGATAGTAACCGCTGTACCTGCAAAGTGAAGGTGTTCTGCTTCGTGGATGGCCTTCTCGTCAGAGGCCGAGCAGGCGTTCTGCTTCTGAACAAGAATTGCCTATTCGAAGGTCGTCGCGTGCCCGTCGGAGGAGTGTTTTGTCGTTGCTGAAGCTGTCGGAATGTGGGCGTTTGCCGACGAGTCGTTCGAGGTCGCCGCAACCGTCGTGGGTGCTTGCGTGGTAGCTGTGGTGGACACTCTAGTGGTCAGCGGTTCTGAAATAGGTTTTTTGAGCGTTAAGAATATCGTGACGAAGATAAGAGGGTGCTAACTTAGTGGAGGGGGGGGGGGGGGACCACGCGGCGGCGCGGCGCTCTGCTCGTCTGGCGCGCTCTCAAGCAAGATAGCACTGCGACTAAGCCTCGGCAGGGATGAGAATGCCGTAGACAGTGATCTTGTGTGATCTTGCTCTATGCATGTTTCGAACTGAAGTAACTTCGGAGTCGCTGAGAGAGCGCCAGACGAGCAGAGCGCCGCGCCGCCGCATGCCCCCCCCATCGACTAAGTTAGCACCGAAAAGAGCTTCGAATTATTCATTATGGTGGGACATTTGGGCAACAAACGTGAATTCTTTTAAGAATATAAATTATTGGAATAGAGAATATGGAAACTAATGTTCTCAAAAAATAGTGGGACGTGAAGAAAAAGTTATCGAGCGTTGCATTTCGGAATGCCCACATTCCACTTTCAATTTAAAATCGTAGCACGTTTGAATGCGATGTGGCCTATATGAGACTATGGCCAACTTCAACCTCGGAAGGTGTAGGACGCTATTCCAGCTAGGAACGGCGCGCGCTATCTAACAGTCTGCCTTTTTCGGGACGTGCTTTTTGAAACCGCTCGCTGCATGTTGTGAAGGCTCATGTGAGGAATATAGAACCATGGCTACTTATCCTGAACGCCCCCAGGAATGTCGAAACAGCGGGAAAGAAGTGGTCCAAAGTTCGATCCTCCGTGATGACAAATTTTTGGGCACATTCATCGTTACGCCTCGCCATCAAAACCGACAAAGTATCTGGCTATCGACGATGGCGCCATTTGGCGGCAATCTGGGGCGCCAAACTATATTGCAAAAATTAGTCATCACCGGGGATCGAACTCTGGACCATTTCTTCACCAACTGTTTTGACATTCCTGGAGGCGTTCAGGAAAAATGGATCATGGTTCTGTGTTCCTCGCATGAGCCCCTACAACATGCAGAAAACCATTTCGAAAAAGCGCTCCATGTCCTGAAAGACCTCCCTTATAAGTTATAATGGTCCGTGCAGTGATAAGAGGCGCTAATTGCCACGAAATCACTTCTGCCCAATACAAATAGCCCAATTATTTTTCAGAACGCTATGTTGCGGTTACGGGCGGGTACCCGACAGGAGGCCCGTCGCGCGGCAAGAACTCAAGGTCAAGGGACGAGTCGCAGCCCGTGATGTGCAATATAGGACGTACAGTGGTATAATCTATCTAACTTGACGCGAAATCCCTACAGTACGAGTTGCGACTCGTCCGCTGACTCCGCCTTCTTGCCGCGCGACGGGCCTCCTGTGGGGGTACCCTGATACTGGCGTCGCTACCCCGTGCATGGTTCGGGCATCCAGCGGAAATCTTACTGAGGCATAGCTAGCTGTCCGTGCCTCTTGGGTCGGCTAGGTGGTAATATAGGACTCCTACGCCTGACCGACCGCGGAGGTGATGGAGGTAAAAGCCGGAAATGCATTTCCAAGACTCAAGGTAGGATCAAGATTACCAAAATTAGTATAATGTTCATAAAGATGGAACAAATAAGATATCTGTAACATTTTAGGATACTCACGCGATAGTCGATCGGACGTCTCTGTGAATAAAATAATGTACTCTCTCATGCATAGATCCGGAACTGAAACAGTACTAATTGTCCAGAAGTTCTTTATCGTACCTCAAAATTTTCAGAACTGGAAGTGCAGTGGGACGAATCAACCAGGGTCAACCCTATGTTGCTACAAGTAGCAACGGGGGGTCGTATTTTGATGAGTTTGTAGAGGGGGGGTCGTACTTGCTTCGGTTGTAAGAAGTTGCATGTGATGAGTGGGGAGCGGCGCGGGAGAAAATTTGCCGTATATACCTCCCCGTTGAAATAAGGGTAAAATACACGGAAAATTGTTAGGGAATTGTAAGAGCTTCGACGGTAATTTTTTGGGGAAAAGTTGTTTTGAAAGAGGGGGTCGTATGAAAAATTTAATGAGGGAGGGGGGTCGTAAAAACTTTTTGAAAAGTAGGGAAAAGTTGGACGACCCTGAATGCAACTTACTTTCAGTACAGATCGGCAGATCGTCACCACGTCGAGAACAGGCTCGACGGCTGACGAGTGGGTCACCACATTCGCACTTGAACTGTTTTGATTCGTCTGCTGTCAAGAATCGTGGCGCATCTCCAGAAAGGGACAAGTCACCTATAAAAAGGGTACACTGATAAGGAAATCTAAAAATCCACTTTGTTCTAGAGGCCCCGAAAGGCGTATGCTGAAGGTTCTTGCCCAGTGAATGGGAGATTCAAAGTCATTTTTCTAGCAAAAGGGATAAAAAGAACATTCAAGCTATTTTCTGAGAAATAAAAATAGCACATTTTATTTTGCACACACAAACAGGGTCGTGACTTATCACCAATTTTTCAGCAAGCGGGTAGAAGGGGAGCCAGCAAGCGGGTGAAGGGGAGCAGGGCAAAAATCGGCTTAGGGAACTGTCGACGACTCGCGAGGAGTTTTCTGCTGATCTCGGTCAAGGCGCTCTCCCACCCATACATATCGCATCTCGAGCAGGGTGAATAACGGTCGAGGAATTCCTCGACCATCGCTCTCTGCTGTGCGAGAGTAGAGCCGATAGTGAATGTACGCGCGGAGAGCACAGACGGCTCGCGGGTGGCGAGAGTGAATATCCGCGCGCGAGAACGTAAAGGATCAGGCGAAAATCCTCGACGTGCCGTTGAGGAATCCTCAAGCAATATTCACCCTGCTCTCGACACTAGACTCTCACAAAGAGCAAAGCCATGGTCGAGGATTTCCTCGACCGCTATTCACCCTGAGGGGAGGGTGGGAAGGGTCGGTAGGGGGATACCGTTGTAACGCACTAACGGGAGGGAAAGGGATCAAAGGAGTAAATAAGGACAAAAACTGAAGTTGGAAGCTCGCTATCTCAGTATTCAGCACTCATTCCTCCCCTCCCCCCCCTTGTTGTGGTGGGACAGAGGTCATATTCCACAACTTTTTTACCAATGTCACGTTTGACGCTGGTTACAAGCACTTCTCTTTATGGGCGTTCGGGAGAGAAAACAACATAGAAGAGGTGTTTCCCATTCCCAAGATCTAGGGGTTCAGCACAGAGCCCATCCATTGGACACCAAGCAAAAACGAGCACAGCAACCGAAATGCACCGTTTCTGGTGCAGCCGGTATCGCGCCGCGACCGCACGCGCCCCATCTACGTTTTATTCAAATAAGTACACATGACGGTTAACGTTGCAAACCCAATGTATGCCATTCCGGAATGATTTTCAAAAAAAGGCTAACCTTTGGCCGTACTGAAAACACAGCCTCCACAATTTTTGAACGGGTAGTTAGTCATGAAACATTTCACATCGTCGTAAAATTCATAGTTAAGAAAAACACGGGTCTCATCCAGTAAGGGGGGGGGGCATTGTGATGCAACGTCAAGTGGCTGCCCTCACCCCCACCCCCTAGACTGCCTTCACTCCCCCTGGCTCACGGGGTCCCGTACTTCGAGAAACCTGTGCGCCAGGGGGAGTGTAGGCAGTCTAGGGGGGTGGGGGTGAGGGCAGCCACTTGATGCCCCCCCCCCTTACTGGATGAGACCCGAAAACACATTGTAAAGAAGGAATAGAATAAAGAAACCCTATCGTAAAATATAAAACACTTTTTTGATGAACTGATATTTTCTAGTTGATTGGAAATAATCTATGACTCACATATATAACTATTTTGTTCGAGCCATACGTAGAGATCTGGTTTTATTACCGCGAAACTCGTCACCCAGAGTATCGAGGACAACAGCAGTTGCCGCATCCTGAAAGAAAAAGAATACTCAGTAAGATCGTAATGTATTCCACTCAGGACCACCAAATTCTCTCACGAAACACGGTATCTACATTTAAATATTAGAAATAGTAGAATACGAAATGAATGCTTTCTTTATGCGAGTTAACTCAAGTAGGATTTACATAAGAAGGGAATGTCCGAGGTGGAGAATGAACTCTTAGGCAAGTTTGCTCCGTAACAGCGACAAATTCCACTGAGCTCCAAGGATCACACAAGTTTGAAGTCTAACATGGAGACAATAAAAAAGCACAGCTCCGAAGCTGCTTGCGTAGATGGCGCAAACATAAGCGTAAGCCTTTGAAAAAGAATCGGGCCGCGTGATGCGCCATGTACCCGTATTGTTCTTGGAATCGTAGAGACAACTGAATAGCTCTGTGTGATCAGCATGAGTGCATAGTTAACCGATCTTATAGACAGTAGCACTGGGCTCCCAGACGGGTTTGGTATCAATTACATGACCCAAACGGATGGAACGCTTGATTCGTTTAGTTATCGAATTAGTGACCACTCATGCATATGATCGGACCCACAATTTATCACTTAGGAGTCAATATGATCCTAATTTTAGAGTACTGTAGGGAAAAAGTTGAGGGATTATATTCTCAATTGAAGAGTCTCTTGGAGACGCGCCATGCACTCGGTTTCCAGGCGAAGTCGGGAGAGCATTTGGGAGTGGGTACAAGCCCAAACAACGAATGCCTATACATTTTGCACTGGCACTGAGTCGTGTGGAACTAACTAAGAACATGCAGACATCACTCCCATGATT